TAACATATGTTGTACCGTATTGAAAGTTTAGTTTGGCAGAGACATCTTGTATGTTAACACATGCCTTTCCTGGAAGGTCACATGATACAGTGAAAACAACTCACATTTTTACATCATGTTAAGGCTTACAAAGTACTTCCTCTATTCTGCCCTGTGAACTAAGAAAGGATACTGGATTTGAAATTATGCTCAAATTCAACTTCAAATTCCATCTATACCACTTAGTAGCTCCACAAATTTGGGCAAATTACTTAACTTCTATTAAAGGGGAGTAGCACCCTTTTCATAGTGTCCTACAAAAGCCAGCCCAGAGTTGATAAATTCTGTGGGTCAGCAGCTTCCAAAATTATAACTCACAAGCCCCAACTTGTGGGTTTACTTATACTAGTCTGCCAGAAAACATAGTTGTTCAAACAAAAGACATTTAATGAAGCAGTATAGTTAAAGTGACAAGAAAAGATTCCTTCTGCTTAGAAGTGGGATACATTCTCTACAGGTTATTGTACCATCACAAAGAGGACATACATGACCAGGGACTACACATGGAGAGTACACATGTAGGAAACAGTTGTGGTCAGGGAGAATACATGAAGAGGCACTTGCCAGGATGGTATCTGACTAAGGATCATGTGTGGAGAGCACATATGTACGAGACATTGAATTCAGACCTTCTGATCTCAATTTTGGCAGTCTTTTCTAATACAGAAGGTTGGTAGGAGGGAAGCCCTTTGCAAACATGTATTGATAAAGAATTTGTGTGTTGAAGGCAGCTTATGCCTCCAACATGGCAGGGGTGCTGATGTCAGCTGGTAATGACATCATGTTGTTCTTTGCTCTTCTTTTCTAGGGTTTATATCTTTGGTCTGCAATGGTTGCATCACTTTGTTGATTTCAGAGTCACTACTGTACATTCACCCTGCTACCAGCTTCTGGGTTTCATCTCTTTATAACCACCTGCTATCAGGGTGACTCTAGCTGATTAGGGTGAAATCACTATAATTCCTCTCTCAGATAAGGACAGGTTGACATCTCATTAATCATGACCAAAAAATTGGAGCTACCACTTTTAGGTAAGGGATCTGCTGAACAAAAATTAGGCACAGGTTCCATAGGCTCAGATTGATTCTTTTCTTTTTAACACCTTGTATCTGGTATTGAATTGTAGTCTATTGTCATGGGTAATTATCTGACTTGGGGTTAGAAAATCCTTTCAATTCTTGTTCAGCCCCTTATGGGGACCATATGTCTGCCTCAAACCAATTTCAGGAGATTGCCACAAGGCCCTTAAAGGAACTGCATGAAAGCTGGGGTCCAAAAACCACCTTCCTCTCAAGGTTCTCTCCATCTTGGAAAGTAAATGAAATTGAATCAAAACAAAAACCAAGTGAAGGTGGCAAGGTCATTATCCTCCATCCTCCTGGCCCAGATTCCTGCCTTTATTGTGTCTGTCTGTCTGTCTGTCTATCTGTCTTTCATTGAATCTGTCTGTATCATATCTATGTAAACATCTATATCTATCATCAAATCTATTTGTATCACATGTATATAAACATTTATATTTATCTATCTATCTCTGTCTATCTATCTATCTAATCTGTCAGGAGTAACATCCCCTTTCACTCCACTCCTGTTTTAGAGCAGCATTTTGATCGGGGGGAAAAAACCTCCCTATCTTTTTTTTTTTCCTCCCTGTCTTCATACATACTATTTGCTTCTTTGGATTGTTCCAAAGAAACAATCCTGAGAATCTTTTGTTGTTGTTGTTGTTGTTGTTGTTGTTGTTTTTGTTTGTTTGCTTGTTTTGTTTTTGTCTAGGCAATGGGGTAAAGTGACTTGCCCAGGGTCATACAGCTAGTAAGTATCAAGAGCAACCTTGAGAATCTTAAAGTACTATATAAATGACGGTTGTGATCATTACACATGCTGTACTTATTTGTCCTTCTAAGTCACTTAGCTGTGACTTTGGGCTTTTCTTTTTTATCCTTCTTTCCTACTTCCTTGCACCACTCCCTTTTCTCTTTCTAAGCCTTCTAGTTTTGTTTCCCTTTCTCCTGCTTTCTGTTCCTCACTCTCATCCTAATTTTGCTTTTTCACTTTAAAGAAGTCCCAACAGACTTCTGCTCACGGCCAAACATCTCTAACTGCCACAAAATTTTTTTTTAAAGGGACATTCCACAAGTTACCAAATAGATTTGATTGTTTATTATATTGATTTCCCTGGTCACAAAGCCAGGCCCTTTCCCGTGGCCATTTATGGTTTACATAATGAGAAATATGACCGGAGAGTATATGGAGGGAGAGATACAATTTCAGCAACATTGATAGAATGACCCAAATCAGCTCTCGTAAATGGTAAGAGTGCTAGATAGAGGATGTCTCTTAAATTTCATGGACTGAACTGAATTCCTAGTCTTGGGAGTTGACTTTACACAAAACTAGCAAGCAAGCAAGAATACAGCTTGTTGCCCCAGAAACCTCTTTCAAATGATACTTTTCCCCAATTTCTATCTCTCCCCATCTTACATAACTTATGCAGTGTCTTTAAACTCTCTCATTATCCTCTTCATACTGAGACCTCCTCTCAGGAAAAAAAACTCAATGAAGTCATTCATGCTAATATGTAAATGACTGATAAGGCTTAAATTGTCAACTTTCTCAAGTATATTCATATTTATCCATCCTTCTTCTAGATGACAAAATAACCTTCCCAAGGCACAAGTCTAATCATGTCACTTTCCTGCTCCAAATGCTTTTTTTTTTTTTGATGAGGCAATTGGCATTAAGTGACTTGACTAGGGTCACATAGCTAGTAAGTGCCAAGTGTCTGAGGCTGAGATTTGAACCCAGATCCTCCTGACTCCAAGGCTGGAGCTGTATCCACTGCACCACCTAGCTTCCCCTCTGTTGCAAATTCTTTAGAGTCTCCCTGTTGCCTAAAGGATAAAATACAAATAATCTGTCATGGCACTTGATATGTTGCCATATGGTTTCAATCCAGATTTGTTTCACACCATCCCCTTTCATGTATTAAATATTCCAATGAAATTGAAATCCCCCACCTTTGTGCCCCTATACAAGCCATCATCCATGACTGAAATACATGACCATCTCTGCCTTTTAGAATCCTTATCTTCCTTCAAGACTCAGATCAGGGACCACTTCTTCCATGAAACCTTCCTTTCTCTCTCCAATTATTAGTGTTCTCCTTTCTTAAGAATTCCTAGAACACTTTGTCAGATTACTTCTTCCCTTGCCAGTCTATCAGGACTTCATCCTGAGTCATGTATTATTCTTACCTGTGCACGTGTCATATCCATCCAGAATAATATAAGCTCTTTGAAGGTCAAGACTATTTTATTTTTTTCTTAGGTGCCAAATAAACACTTGTTGAATTGAATTGATTTCAATAAGGAACAAAAAGTCAACTTTAAAGGGACAAATTTCTATTGGAGTTTCAGATGCTAGAAAGCAGATGAGAAAGGCATTCTTTAGGGAACGGAAAGGTTTCCTGATGCATTTTGAATCATATCATACAGGCAACTGCCTACTCTGCTTGTTACAACCTACCTGGGTAATGTATAGGATTGGAGCAGGCTAGAATTTAGGATTCTTCAGGATACAAAGGACTAGGGATGTTCTAGTACTCTTCCCTATGCTCTGGAATTGCTAGCAAAAGGACTAGTCCAGGCAGGGAAACCTGAGGCCTTGAGGGCACATATGGCCCTCTAGGTCTCAAGTGCAACCCTTTTCAGTCAAAGACAGTTGCACTTGAGGACCTAGAGGGTCACATGTGGCCTTGAGGCTGCAGGTTCCCCACCCCTGGACTAGGTGATGGAAACTGTACTTCTGTAATTCTCCTATGCTCAGCATACCACCTCTCATCTCCATGCAACTGTACAGGCCATCGCCCATGACTGAGATGCCTAAGCAGGCTTCAGATAGCAGGGAGTTGAAATGATAGTACTTACTGTAATCTGTAGACTCTGGTGGGGATTGGGAACTTGAATCAGAGCCTCAGGTACTCATAGTAAGCTGCAATCAATAATTTACCAATAACAGTGCCTGGCATCTGGTAAATTCTTAAGATTAATTGATTGACTGGTTTTTAAAACTCATAATAATTTGATCCCTTTCTGCCTTTCCAGTCTTATACTTTCTTCCTGTCCAGGTACTCTATAATCCAAAGACACAGGACTCCTTGCTTTTTCTTACTCTGTCTCCCAACTCTGAGCAATTTCAGTGATTGTCTTCTATGTTGTCTCTTCCTTCTGGCTTCCTGGCTTCTTTCAAGTCTCAGTTAAAATTCCGCCTCATGCAAGAAGCCTTTCCCTGGGGGCAGCTGGGTGGCATAGTAGATTCAGCTTCAGCCTTGGATTCAGGACCTTAATTCAAAGCTGGCCTCAGACACTTGACACTTGTTAGCTGTGTGACCCTGGGCAAGTCAATTAACCCCAACAGCCTCACCAAAAAGTGAGAAAAAAAGTCTTTTCTGGTCCCCTTCAATGCTAGTGCCTTTCCTCTGAGATTACCTCCGACTTATCCTGTATGTATCTTGTTTGGACACAGTTTGTATATTGTTTCCCGTTAGATTGTTTTTGCCTTTCTTTGTATCCTCAGTACTCAGCCTGTACCTGGAACATAGTAACTGTTTAATAAATTCATGTTGACTATCAGTAAACTTGTCAAAATTTGAAAAAGGGAAAATTTACTCCACTGACTAGTTGTTTATTTTTTTACAACTCAGCTCTTTCATGATGAAAGTCTCAGCTTAAAAACAGGATGAGCCAATTTCTGTACCTCTCTTGAGATTTCCAATGTTATCACTGTCATCCTTGTATTCTCTCAACAGCTCTCCTATACCCTGATAGCATACTTCCCATCACCAATCCAATAAAACCCCCCATTGCCTGTGACCTATGAGAAAAAGCTGCTCCAGAAGCAGGTCTAATTGAGTTTCAAAATGGAAAATGTACAATATAGTTGCAAGGCAAAGAACTTACTCCTTAGTACTAGGGACCTCTTCCTTTTCCTTAAGGTCAAACAGTACAGCTGGGCAGGCAGGCTGTCTTCTGTGCACAGGCAGAAATGGGCCACTCCCTCTTGAGAATTTCTTTTCCCCTTATATCCTCTCGAAGCTTCCTGTTTTTTTTTTTTTTTATGATACCACCCCTTTCTATGAATTTCCCTCATTAAGACTTTAGAGTTGTTTCCCAAGCTACTAAAGGAATGAGGAGAGTGGAAAAAGCAATGAATTTGGACCCAGAAGAACTGGGCTATTCTAATGACGGCTGGTACCACCTTACCTGGAAAGGGGGAAAAAAACATGGAGGACCAAAAGAGATTGGGAATAGCAGAAAATGAGAAAGAACAAAAGTGGGAGAATATGAGAAAGGATAGGAGGCAAAATGAGGACAAGGAGGAAAAGAGAGGGAAGGTAAAGGGGAAGAAGATTGTATACAGATAGGGCTAGCCCTGAGAAAAATTGTAAAGTAAGAATAGTTTGTCTTTGTATTCTACTTCTAACAAAAATCTCTTTAATCTCTTCTACCTTTTCTTCAATACTCTCCTCCCTCTCTCAACTTATCCTATATCCTAATCTTGCTAATTTCCAGTAGAATGATAACTGATAAAGTTATTAGCTGTTACACACTTATGGTATGTCTCCTCATGGGGATTCCCTCCCTCCTTCCACTTCTTATACTGTAGCTATTTTCATATGTGTATGCTTTATTTTTATAACTACAATGCCAGTTCCTTGAGGGTGGGGATTGGTCCAGATTCATCTTTGTATCCCCCATGCTACCTAAAACAGTGTCTTGTTCTTAATAAGGTACCTAAGTAAATGTTTATTGAAAATTATGATGATGATTCAGATGGGCATTGCCTTATGCTTTCGACTTATACCTTCTCTTCTCCATCTCAGTTAGCTTTTACACTGGAAAGGAGTCATACTATGGTGTTATTGATTCTATGTGTAAATCTCTTCTAAGAGTATTTCAGTTTAACAGCATAATACCAACTCCAAAGAAAGAATCTTTAGTGGTAGAATTTTCATGCATCTTGGATAGGTCAGTAGGAGATATCTTGGGTAGAAGGAAAGAATGCTAGAAACAGGAGGAGAGAGATACTGGGACAAATTAAGAATAGGTAGGAAAGGCAGCTAGGTGGTTCCATGGATAGAGTGCTGGGCCTAGAGTCAGGAAAACCTGAGTTCAAATCTGGCCTTAGACACTTAATAACTCTGTGACCCTGGGCAAGCCACTTAACCTTTGTTTGCCTTAATCCACTGGAGAAGGAATTGGCAAACCTCTCCAGGATCTTTGCCATAAAAACCCCATGGACATTATGGTCCATGGAGTCATGAAGAGTTGGACACGACTGAAAAACAAGTAAGGGGAAAGGTTAGGGAAATTAGAAATAGGCTGCATCTGTGATCATGATAACCCACTTTCTTCACCCTCTCCCCCTCCCTCAATTGTATCTTTTGTTTGCAGTAAACCACACACATATTTCAGGTACTGACTTTGACAGTCAAAGTGAGAAGTGGTCAGAAGTTATCAGTAACTCAAACATCATTAATTTATCTCTTTTGACATACAAAAGTGAACAAACGAAAAAGAACTCCCAAATCTTGATCATGTCCTTACTGGGCATCACTCAACTTTCTTCTGCTGTTGTTTGGCACCTGTGTTGCCTACAGATATAAAGAGTGGTTTTTATTTTCTGAGACTTAAAACTTTTGCTGGTCCTGAAGGAGTCCTGGTTAGCAAGTCAAATTGCAATCAGATAACCAGACAGTAGCAAAGAAGTGCTGTTCTAGGTCAGTGATAATAGCCAGAAACTGTGCAGAAGTATGTAAGCTGTCCTGAGTTTATCCATGAAGACTGAAAATGTTACTGGACATCTGTAGTCATGCCATTAGATCTCTACTCCAGAAGGGTTTTGGGAGTTCCACTAGATCAACATGTTTAGTTTCTCACCCCAGGTGTCTTCTGATATGTAGGTAGGGAACTATTTTGAAGATAGATAGAAGGACTCTTGGATATTAAAAAATTTCATTTAGTATTTTATTTTTCCCCAATTACATGTAAAAACAATTTTAAGATTTGTTTCTTAAAACTTTGAGTTCCAAATTCTCTCCCTCCTTCCCTCCTTTCCCTCTTCCCTCATTGAGAAGGCAAGCAATTTGACATAGGTTATGCATCTACAATTCATGCAAAATATATTTCCATGTTAGTTATATTGTAAAAGAAAATACAGAACAAAAAAAATAATGAAAGTAAAAAAAAAGCTTCATCCTCATTGATACCATTAGTTTTTTTCTCTGGAACCAGATAACATTTTCATCATAAGTCCTTAGGAATTGTTTTGATTGCCGTTTTCAAGATGAATTGTTTTGTTGACTCATCATGGCTTCTTCTAATTTTGTCATCTTTTGATTTCACTCCAAAATTTATTGCTGTGTCATTTTTTTTTTAAATTTTTGTCTCCACTTTTTCCCTCAGGGTGTCTACTCTTTTGCTAACATGTCGCAGCTTTTGTCTTAAGTTTTCTATTCTTTCCAAGTTTTTCATTAACAGTGCAAATTTCATTCCTCCCTTCTTTCAATTCTTTTACTTGTCTTTTTAATCACTCTTGTGAAGCGCTGATAGTTATTCACTTTTCTTTTCTCACTTTTAAATTGTAGTTCATAGAATCATGAATCTAGATCTAGAAGAGATCTCAAGGGTCATTTAGTCCAGGTCCCTTCTCTTACAGACGACAAAAACAGGGAGGTTAATTGACTTGCTCAAGGTTACTTATGCTAAGTGAACCAAGGTGCAATTTATTGAAGCAGTATTCTCCCCAGTTTTCTTTTGGGATTCTTTTGCCCCATTGTATTTCATTGTTTTAGGAGGTGTGTCTTTGCTTGCTCATATCCTAAAACTCTTTGCTGAATTTTCCTGTCAAGCCTTCCTCAAGGGAATTTATTTTGTTTTCCTCTTTTCACTCCTATTGATATCGATGTTTTTATTTTTTAAATTTGGTTTATTTCTAGTTGTTTTGAGGCAATGTGGGGGAGGAGTATTATATACAGCCTCTTACCCCAATGATCTTGCTATTAGTCCCCTATGTGTCTTTGAACAAGTACCTAAATTATTGTCCAAATATGTCATGGGTAGCATTAGGAGGTGATTAGTTACCCATCAAGTGAAAATCAGATGATTGAGTCTCTTCCCTTCTCTTTTTCTCAATTCCACTACTAGACTTATACCCCAAAGGGATCAAAGTCAGAAGAAAAGGACCCATATACATGCAACTATTCATAGCAGCCCTTTTTATTATAGCAAAGAACTGGAAACAAAGTGATGCCCATTAATTGGGGAATGACTGAACAAATTAGTCATCACTAGCTCTTTTCCTAATCTGCAGGTCCATTGAGGTGTCAAGTTGTGGTCATTCTTCTCCATGACAATGCTTTCATTACTCCATTTTCTGGCCTCATATTATCACCATGATTATTATCTCTCTTATGCTATTGCACTAGCCTTCTACTTGGGCTACTGGCTTCCAGTCTCTTGTCTCTCTAACCCATCTACTATTGGCAAAAAAACCATCTTGCTATGTTGATCTCTTGCTTGAGAACTTTCAGTAGCTTTGTATTGTTTCTATGAACAATTTCTTTGTTTTTCTTTATCATTGATCCTTCTAGTATACTTTTAGACCTTTACTGGGGTGTTTACAATAGATCTATGCTCCTTTTGGCTGTCTCACATAGCTGGTTTATGCTCCCTCCTTAACTCTGCTTATTAGAATTCCTAACTTCCTTCAAGCTTACACACACACACACACACACACACACACACACACACACACCTCCCTCTGTCTCTCTGTCTCTCTCTCTCTCCCTGTATCTCTTCATGTGTCACCTCCTATAGAAATCCTTTCCTGAACTCTCTGATTGTTAATTAGCACGCTGTTTGCTTGCAAATTTTATATACACATACATACAGGGAGCTTTTTATATGTTCTATTTCCCCCAGTAGGAGTCCCTGCCTCTTGAGGGCAGGGATTGTTTTTTTATTTTATCTTTGTATGTCCCATGAATAACCCAATGCCTTTTAAGTAGTAGATGCTTAATAAATTCTTTACCAGGTAAACCACCAGGATTAATTCTTCCTGTTCTTCCCCTCTTCACTCTGCTATTCTGGGGTCTCTCTGTCCTGACTTCTGCACTGCCTCCTTTCCTAAATGAGTTTTTTTTTCCTTGGCTCTTGTCCCAGATGTAAACATTTCTAATTATGGCTCTGCCTCTATGAAGCCTTTCTTGCCTCTAGCAAGTGAAAATGATCTATTCCCCCAAAATTTCTCATGATATTTTCCTTGAATTCATCTATTGTTCTTATTTCTTCTTTGTATTATAATTATTATTATTTTTTAAAAACATTATATATGTTTAGAGACCAGGTTTGTTTAATGCTTAACTCAGAACCTAAGTTATGCTGACCCAGAAACTCAGTTAGATCTGAAGATGAATGTAAGGAATTTTCTCCTGTTATACATCTCAAGCAACTCACATGTCTTATCTGGAAACTGCCTCTGTGCTGGCCAATCAGGTGTTATTTCTTTGTTCAAATCTTATATAATACATAACTTACAGACATTTGGGGGGAGTAGGCCACCCCTTTTTTGGTTCTCCCAACTGCTGGATGACAATAATTTTTTAAAGCTATCTCAGTTCTGGTTTCATTCTCTGCCACATAACATATATGTATAAACATCTCTCTCTCTCTCTCTCTCTTCTCCCCCTCATTGGATTGTCAGCTCTTTGAAATCTGGGCTTCCACTATCTCTGTTCATAGATTCTCAATAGTAGATACTTAACTCATTTGGTAAAATGGAAATAAATTGAAATAAACTCCCTAAGACCTGTCTTGATACCATCTATATATGTACATGTATGAAGATATAAAATCTTTCCATTGCTATACATGTTAAACAGACTCAAGAAGAAAATGCTTATGTACACATTTAACACTTCCTTAAAGTTTAAGAAAGAAACTTCCTTTGCCTGACCTCACATCCCCTACCCACACCATTTGTTA